GTACCTGTTTTCCATGATAAGAAGAGCTGTCAGCAGTTCCTGGTCCATTCAAAGGCTATAACAAAAGTATCACAAAAGCTGCGTCCTTTTAATCTTTTCTCACCCTCTGATCCTAACTGATAATCTAACACTGTTATGAGCCCAGTGGGAGTCACAGCAGTGTTGTGAAGCCGTAGCTGTAGTGGATCTACAATGCCAGCATTCAGGGTTTGTGCCAACTTTGTGTGCGACATAAAACTAAATAAAAGTCAAAGCTGACTTTCTGCTGAAAGGCACAAAAAACCAACAGTGGAGTATAGCTATGGTAGATGAAGGTTAGCAGTCAATTAAGCTTGAAACTCAGCAGACAAAACAAAGAGGTCACAGATAATGTGTATTTGTGTGCCTGTGTGTGTTTGTGTGTGTGTGTGTGCGTGTGTGTGGTGTTATCTTTAGCGATCCCTCCCTGCTGTGTGCTGTCAGATAGTTTCTCATTACGCCAACTTCCTCTCTGCTGAGACTAGTGTAGAATACCGTGTGTGTCTGTGTGTGTGTCTTTATTTATTGCATGCAGTCTGAATGTTTGGAGCAGTAAATTAAAGGCTTTCATGTCCATGTATAAATTAACCATTAAAAACATGTAACACTTCACGTCCCTGTACTTATGTGAGCAAAGCCGTTTGGAAGTACTTAACTGGACATCATTTGGGAGGTCATATATAAGCTAACCAGCACATATGACTATGAAAAAAATGTCGATTTGTGCGTTAGCATACTTTCCCAACACGTAGTGCAACCTTTTAGAGTTCAAAAATATAGTTCCTCAACAAATTATATCTGTAAAAGTGGTCAGCTAGTCATTGTTGTGGGATGTATAACCATGGTAATTAGTGAAATGTCAGAAATGGGTTGCAGATGGACGTTTGCCTATTAAGAAATGTTTTTCCGTTGTTTTCTTGCAAATATCAGGATTCCAATGCAAGATAAAATAAACCAAATATATTTTAATAAACTTACAAAGACTGTGACCAAAGGACACTGCAGGGAAAAGCAGGATAAAGCCAACAAAAAAAATGATAATAATAATAAAAGGACAAACCAAAACTCAGGGGAATATGTAAGAATGAGGCAGGACACAACATGGCAAACAGCAGGATAAACAGAAAGTCAGACAAAGAGCAGAGGCAAAAATATATATTTGCTCAGGGGTGTGACGAGACACCAGTGGGAGGCTGTTTAGGGCAGGACAGCTCGGAGAGTAGCTGGCCCGTGCTTGTAGACAAATCCAACACTTTCATAGTGAACAAAGCCGTCACAAGGAGTATCTTCAATTTTTTTCCTGACTGGTTGAGAAGCACACGTTTTCCACTGACAAACAGGTGGTTGCTAGGGGGTTACTGTAGTTCTGTGTGATTGGAGCTTTAGCGATCATTTTCTCTTCAGCAAGCACTAGCAACCAGCCAGGGAATGCTCATTTTTACTTCATGACCAATTAGACCATCTAGGCCTCTGTGACTGGGCCTTATTCAGCTACAGTGGTCGGTAAAATAAATGACGTATACACAAGCCAAAGAAGCAAAAATACCACACACGTATTTCCTCATCCTTGCCATTCTTTTGCTCTCTCGCCTTGTCTTTTTTTAATCTTCCTCTATCTGTCGCTCTCTCAAACACACAAAAACACACAAAGCCCTGCACCATGTTGATACCTGTCAAGCTGTCTCTAAGCTTCACTGCTGTAACTCTTTTTCTGATCCTTAGTCTTTGAAGTGTCATAGTGCAGATGATGATCATCAGGGGATTGTACTCACATCTTATTAGTGACATTTTGATTTGAGTGTCAGTGTATGTGTGTGTGCATGTGTCTGGTTTATGATCCTGTTTGCAGTCCTTCATGTTCAGACATACTTTTGAGGGTTAATGTTGATACACTCTTGTCATTTACAGTCAAACTGATCATATATAAGTGGCCTGTCAGAGCAGAAATAGTCTTGAGTGGTATTTTTTACTGATCTGCAGTTAACGTGATGTAAGTGGCAAGCAGAGCATGTAACTTTTTAACTGTCTGTTTGCTTTTTTTTTGATGGACGGGTGTAAAAGCAACAGTAAAGTTTTCTTAACTTGAACCAGAAACCATTCAGCGTGTTTGTTTATTTCATTCATTTATGCTCTCAAATCCAGAGTTTTGTGCAACAGAGCTGTGTTAAGCGGGCATCACAGAGGAGTATCATTGAATTCCTCTTTGAAAGCTATCCTTCTGTTATTTCCCCAAAGGTTGGATAAAAAGCTAAGATACCATAAAGACAAAACTAATCAAAACAGCTTGTTAATTTTATTGAATTGAAGCTGTCAGCCAAGCTTCTTCTCATTTAAATTTTTAATTGTTAAAGATATACAGATTTTACAGTCAAAGCATTTCCCAAGTGCTGTTAAAGAGAGCAAGGGCTTTTCCAAACATCTTAGCTTTTTGATACTTTGCACATAGACAAAAAAAGTATGTCACAAAAACATAAAACTACAAGGGTCAAAATCAGTCCCTGTGAGGCCTAATAGTCAGTTGTGTATCCTTTTTGCTGGATAACAGCCTGCAGACATTTGCTCTCTCATGCTCCTCCAGATGTGATGGCCTTCAGTTCAGCCCACAGATTTGTCAGGGCTTTGCCTAAGCCAGTCAGTAACATTCTCTTTGGCCTTCTGGAGGTAGTTCATCAAGGTTGTTGTCGTGTTGGAAGACAAAGCAACAACTCAGACTCAGGTTTGCTGCCGACTACTGGAGGTTTACTTTCAGAATCTTCACATTTCCGATTCCTTCCACCTTGACCAGATTCCCACTTCAAGACGCACTGAAGCGTCCCCACAACATAATACTGCCACCACCGTGTTTCACTGTAGAGATGCTGTTCTGTTTTGGGTTTTACACCTCTTCCCTCTTTCTCCAGCACAGGCAGTAGTTTAGTCTAGTTTATTCTCATCTGAACAAAGGATGTGCTTCCAGTTTGCATGATCCTTCTTCCGCTTGTACTCGGCATCCTTCACTCTGGCTTGAAGTGGCGTTTTTCCTGGTCTGAGACTTCAAAGTCCAGTCCTGTTCACGGTCCTACTGATGGTCTTTTTTGAGACCGCAGTTCCCAGCTTGACTAAGTCATTTCCTCGTGTCTTGGTAGTTCTGTTGTTTTTGGACACATCTCACTAGTTTTCTTTTCAGAGTCTGTGATTTGTTTCCTACCTCTGCCCGGCTTGTTCTGCACTGTGTGGCTCTCTTTCAACTTCTTGATGATACTTCTCACTACAGTTCTTGAAACACTCTGATAACTTTGTTTATCCGTCTCCTGCTTTGTGAGCATCAACAATTGTTTTTATTAAGTCTATACTGATTAATCTGGTTTTTTCTCAAGTGGCAGCTCAAACCCTTGCTTAAGTTTTTGTACTATGTGGAAAAAGTTTTAAGTGAGTGTTTTCTTTCACAAAGATGAGTCGCTAGGTACATTTTGAAACCCAAAATCACCCAAAATCCCTGCTGGGAAGCATTTGTTCTCACATAGATCCCCTTCTTCCCCTGCTAAAGATCCTTGTTTTGAAACCGGCAACTATTACCACAGTAACAGGAGTTGTCTTTAGCTTCAAATAATTGATTTTTTTTTTTTTTTTTTCAAGCAGGCCACTGCTGCTTGAAATCAAACCGAGTCTCTTGTGGTCAGATTGTTGTGCCTACATGCTATAACAAAAGGCTGTACTTTGGAAAGTACAGTTTGTCAGATATCTGTGCAAAAGGTTTTTGAGGCTTTGGTTAAAGAAAAAAAAAATCCTATACACCTACTCCATATATTTGCATGCTACATTGAATATAGCCTGCGAAGTATTTTACTATAACCTAAAATATTCATGACAAAACATGAAAGTTTAGCAAACGTTCATGCTGTTTCAAATCTTGAGGTGACATTTCTAAAAGTTTTATACTCACTTAATCTGCTTTATCGCGACTATTTGCCTGCGGCCTGATCGGACTGGATTAACAATGAAACTGAACCCACTCTAACTGTCATCAGCTCTGATGTTTCTACTTTAAATCCTGGACGTTGCCACACCCGCTTCAAAACACAGAGAAAGGAACAGAGGAGAAAAAGAAACAAAAATATTTCTCACTGACACATTACTTGCTCCTTCTTTTGCCGTAACTCATGAAGCTGGCCTTCTTGACCCCATTAGAACATCTCTATGGCTTTCACCTGTCTCTGGCAACTGAAATAAAAGTATATCCAGGGTTAATCGTAAGGTTAATGTGCAGTGTGAACTCTCAGGGTAATTAGTTCACTTCTTATTGATTGACCTCAACACTCGACCTTCCGTTGGGAGCTTTTATAGAAAAGTAAAAGGGTGGGAAGGAGGGAGGCAACGGGTGGCCAAAAAAGACGGTAAAGATCCCAAGCAATAAAGCGTTCAAGGTTCTATTGTACGAGATTCTGGCCGCTTGCTTCCTTTGCAGTAATGTGTTAGGTGTCAAAGCAATTGACCATTTAGTTCCACATAAGCCCCATACACCATTTAGGCCTCACTGGTTTTTGTTAACTTTTCGCCGATGCAATCCTTTTCATTTTCCCCCCAGACTCTAAGGGCATTCTTCCATGTAAAGGGAGATGGGATAGATAAAAGGGAAAAAGAAAAAAAAAGGATGAACAAAGACGTGAAAGAAAGTGTTTAGGTTGCTGAACACGGAGAAGGACAAGTGGGGTGATGCTGTAAAGGAGTAAAAGAGCATGGCGGTGCCCGAGTGCCGATCGCTGAATGTTAAACGTATATGCTGTGAATGGCTGAGCTCGGGGAGCTCGACGGGGAGGAACGAGTCCGTTAAAACTTTCTGTCCCCTTTTCACAAGTTGTTGGGATTTTTTTTTTTTCACCTCCTGTATCCATGTGTAGTCATGTGACAGTTTTATTTTTATGTGTCTCACAGTCACTGTCTATGTCCCATGTGCCACCTCCCCACACCCTCTCTACCAACCCCACCCTTCTCTCCACCTCCAGGGAAGCTGGCGCAGAAAACTGGGGCACAGAAGGCTGCCAAACGCTCGCGTCAACCGCTGTCCATACCAAATGCCTGTGCAGCAGAATATCCACCTACGCCGTGTTAGCGCAGCAAGCTAAAGACCCGGTGAGTCACCTATGCAAAGCCTGATGTACTCTGTGGGACTTTGGGGTGTTAACGAGGCAACTACTACCAGGAGGAGAGGGTGCGCAGGTCAGTGAGCTGATTTTCTGTACGCAGACTCCAGGCCACTATCCCCGTCAGACATATCACCGAGAACTACGTCTCTTAAGTCATTTATTGAGTTAACAGAAGGATATGGATGGCTGAGGCTGGCATGACTAGCAGAGCTTTATGTGAGATGTCTTACTTCATAACAATGAGAGCAGCCTGAGTGGGGCTGTCAGTTTTATAACTGTGACACAGTACTGTATAAATGGCTATTTTGATCACTGTGTGTTTGTCTAATTATATGTTGACTGGCTGTCATTCTTCCCATTACGCAAGTTTGGGGTTTATTTTTGTTTGTTTGTTTTTGAGCTTAAACTTGATGAAGGTCGGACTCTTTCAGTCCCATGTGATGTGAGAGAGGCGAGGCGACGGGAGGAAGGAAGAGATTTTATTGTGTCTCTGTGTGACTTTTTTTTTTTTTTTTGCCTGGAGCACATAACGTGTTCCTCTATAAATAGTTCACGTGGCTCACAGTGTGTGTTTGACGTGACAAAAGCGGGCTTTTTAGCAGTTAATGGTAATGCACATTCTGATTCACTGACCTGTTCTCCTGCTTTAATGGTCATCTAAATACCCGATCACCTTCCTCGTAGATCCACCCAAAGGACCCTAATTCTCTCACTGTGTAACACCTCACACTATCACCCCATTTATTTTACACCTTACCTCTAATTCATTATTTTTACCCATTTTCTTGCTTCCCTTATTCCTTTTAGCTGTTTTTTTTTACCTGCGAATCTCTTGTAAGACACCCCCCCCTTGTCACTTCTTTTTTACCCCTGTTCACCTTGTTAACATTTCCAGTTTTCATTCTCACTTTATGCTGCAGCTCTGACCCCTACACTGTGGTCACAAAATGCTCCCCCTTGGCTTTGGCTCTTAATTTGCCTCTCTGATTACTTGTACTCAAAGCCCACGAGAAGACCGGTTGCTTAAAATATTCAAAGGAGCAAAAGGAGATGAGGTTTGGGTACATTTTTGTCACACATTAAAATCTCTTTTGTGATTCTCTCTTTTAATAGTTAGTTCTCTAGTAAGCGCTGGAGAATAACTGTGTGTGTCACAGAAATGGAAAGTGATTGTAAGGAACAGAGGATTTGGAGGGTGGAGGAAATGTTCAACCAAACAGAAAAGGTAGTCTGGTCTCGGCTCGCAGGCAGCTTAGGGAGAGAGAGAGGGCCAGAGAGATGGAAAGTGGATGTTTTCTGCACTCATCTGTAATGCATTAACAACCAGCATTGCAGAGATAAAGAGCCGTGCACTTATGTGGCCCTGTTCGGCATAATGCATTGCTTCTGTATTGTGCTCACCGATGCCTTGCATTTACCCTTTGCTTTTTTTCTTTTTTTATAAAATGCATTTCTATCAGCTCATTGTTTAGCTGCCAGCCCATCTGCTTTACTGTTTACAGCAATGGCAGGTCAGTGTTTCCCACAAAAAAGCTCTGAAAAATCCGTACTGTACTTAGCATAGCTTTTGTCAGCAGAAGAACATCAAACATTGGGAACAAAAAAAAAATTGGAATTCATCAGTACCCCTATCTGGTCGCACCAAAAAGAAACAAATACAGTTAAAAGAGTATGAATATTGGAGGTACGTTTCTTATACATCCCCCTGGCTAATGTTACACCCCTTTTTTATAGCAAATATTACCGCATACCAAATGTGCCTCTGATGCCATTGCTCTAAAGAAAAATTAAGTTAGAGGCAGAATATTGTAGTGAGTTGCAGCATATTATAAATGCTTCAGTCTCAAGGAAAAAGAAGGGAGGAAATAAAGGGTTTCATGGTTGCCGCACTCATTGAAAACTGAGAAATGAGAACATCTAATTGAGTTTATTTAAGCTGAATGCATTTTTAGTCTTCTTAACAGCATAGTTAAAAGAATCCCACTGTTGGGTAGCATCTAGTTGCCAGTGCATACACGGCATTGAAAAACTCCTGTCACAGTCACATTCACTTCTGTTTCTTGTTATCCCCAACCTTGGATGAAGCCGTGCAAGTGACAGCTGCCTTGAACGTTTCCTGAGACGGATAAAGTCATTTAATCCAACGCAAACATGGATAAGCCAAGTTGACAGTAGTGACACTGACTGGCGTCGCAACTTTTAGATGACCTCCCTGTTTTAAAGGAAGGACTCAGTAAATTGCGTAAACCTGAGATAATCAGCTGGTTTGTAAGCCTCAAGATTTCCGTGTCCTGCTTTAGGATTTATTAGTATTATTATTCCCTTCTGTTCTATTTCTCCCTTCTATTAACTGTAAAGAGGGTCAAAATAAGGGGATGGCCTTCAGGTAAGGAACTGCAGTTATTCATTATTTTTGTACCTCAGAGCTTGAATTACTTCACAGGGGTCTGGAAGCCATTTCAGACCCCAGGGAAACATTAACTCCCCGTAATATGGAAAACACAATAGCTTTGACCCATAAGCCGAACGGGTCATTCCGGCCACTGTTTCTGGTTCCTGCGACTCCTCTTCCAGCCGTACAGTATTGACTTTTCCCTCGCCACACAGCAAGCAGGTCGACCGAGTTGACTGATAGAGGGCCAGGAGAGGGGGGAAAACAAAAAAAAAACCATTGACTTTTTTTTACATTTGTGACATCTGTGAAGAGTGTGGTAGTCATTAGTGATTCATCAGTCAGCCCCCAGTGCTGCCATTTAGACCCAGTGCACAGGACCAGAAGGTGTGTGGGTTAGTGTTTTTGTGTCAATGGCTCTCAGTCAGGAGCTGTTGCTGCTGGTGCTGAGTGCACTTTGTTGCTTTAGGGTGCTCCAGAGTTAGCTTTTTACTCCAGTGGAGATTGGGTTGTGTAAAAAGAAGAGAGAGAGGCAAATTGAATTTGGCAATAAATAAAAAAAGCAAGAAAGAAAGAAAGAGCCACATTCAGACATGCGAACACACTGATATATGGTGGTATGCACTTAAAAACACTTAACATGCACAAGCCTGCATGCATGCATGTAAGTCTGGGCGAATGAAAACGCGCACACAGATGCTCAACACACACACACACAGACAAAGATGCACTCATATGCTCTGTCCAGGCTGTGTGGCTGTTGGAGCAGTGGTGAGTATCAGCAGCCCAGCTCTGACAGCTTATCCTGGGTTACGGCGCGAGGGACAAGGGGGGCTGAGGATTAACCTCCATGTTTAATAGAAAAGGGAGGCAGCGGGAGTGGGGGTTGGGGGTAGGTGGAGGGATTTAGAAGCAGTGGTGCCATTACAGGCCGTTTACAGTGGAGTGAGGGATAGCCAGTTAATCCTGTTTACTTTCTATAGCCTCTGAGATTTCCGTGTGTGTATGTGTGTGTCCTGTGTGTTTGAGTGTCTATAGAGACCTTTCGCTATCAGACACGAGACAGAGGGTTTTTTTTTTGGTTTTTTTTTACTTTAGCGACACAGACAAGCGAGAAAGAGAGAGGGAGAGGAGGAGGATTTGATTGAGTTAGGTCATGAAGGAATACTAAAAGACCAAGCCACTTAATTCTTAAGATGACTCCAGTGGGAACACACAAACCCCACGGATACGTCTGGACTCTTTGCCTGCGCAGAGCTCACGGAGATCACGGGATTTGGAGCTGAGGGAGGTACTGGCTTTATAAAAGTCAGTTTAACGTTTTGCACCTCCAGTCAATAATGTGACTTCCACGTTTTTTTCCCCTTCGCATTTGTCAGCCCATAAAGCCGGTGCTCAAGTTGTGTTGACATTAAAGCTAATAGCAGCTTTCAGGTGCCTCTCCGAACTTGCATTCAAATACACTGAGCTTGCCTAAGCAGGCATCCAGAAATATGAATGGACACGAGAGGTCAGCGGTTCACAACAGCACCTGAGACTTTGGTTTAGTCAGCACAGATGAGCGCACAAGCAAACACACTCGACTTGAGCGAGGAGGAGAAACAGAAAGAGGGATTTTCTCATTTTCTTTAACTTATTTATGAGCCAATTACTGAATCAAAGTAAGTCGCTCCAAATAACAATATCCGAACTGATGTCTTTCTGCTGTAAAGGATTTCTCAGAGCTTCTTCTACCTGCCACGCTAACTGCATTTGGCCCAATCATTCTTATGAAATGATTGGCTTTGCCTGAGATAAATCGAGTCTTTTTCGTCTGTTATCATCAGTGCTCGAGGCACCTAATCAGAATGGAAACATTTCAGAACAGGGCCTATTATTTAGACTAATAATGGCCACCGTGCTTGATTTGACTGTGGAAAAGACGATAGGGATGACTGAAGTGCTTCAAGGTGGCGACTCATATTTTAACTTATTATAATTTAACTGGCAGCAGTGTTTGGAGAGAAAACAAGGCCTGACCTAGACTGCAAGGTTATGGTATGCAAATATGTCGCACTTGTCAGATGTAATTAAAGGATGAGGGGGCGCTAAAATTTATGAGGGACTCGGCATAGAATTGCATTAAAATCTTTTAATCCTTTGTCACATTAATGAAGGGTTAGCCAAGTGACAGCGATGACACAGGAAATTATGAATAAACAGGTGTAATGATTTAGTTGCGTGTTTGTCTAAAGATGCATAATGCCTGAGCGTGGGCAGGGCAAAGACTTGTTAATTAGATATTCAAAACTGAGTGGAAAGTGTGTGTTTTTCTTAATATAATTAGAGGGTCAGAATGTGTTGGAGGCGTTGGTTTTGACTGAATTTTTTAAATGTGAAATACAAATTTGGTCCACAAGATCCCTTGAGGAAAAAATGTGTCTTGGTGCAACTGGCTTTTTGTTTGCCCGTTGTCTTGAAGGCCTTTCATTTTCTTGCTCGCGTTCTGCATTTTGCATCAACAAACATCACAAACCTTGAACATTATGCGAAAACGGCAACACGTAAGGAAAAGGCTTCGCTTTGTGACACGGCGTCAGCACTCCAAGCTCAAG